TAAAAAATCAAGAAAAAGAGGAGAGGCTGCCTTAAATGCCCTCTCCTGATAATGAGATTGATCACTAACTTATATGCAATCGTATAGCCTTCATCCAGCAGCTGGTGGAAGTAGAAGCAGACACCCACATATTCTTTGAGATGGGGCCTAGGCCAAACCCCTTGTGTCTAGGCTCAGGGAGTATTCCTCCATGTGGCATGGGCTCCTAAAGTCCATTCCTATGGTAGCCATATGATCCACTACAAGAGGCCCCATAGATTTCCAAGGTCTCCTCACTGACACCCACATTTAGGGGGTCTGGATCAGTCCCATGCTGGTTTCCCAGATATCAGTCTGGGGACCATGAGTTTTCCCTTGTTCAGGTCAGCTGTTTCTGTGGGTTTCACCACCCTTTGCTCATCAGTCCTCCTTCTCTGCATCTGGATTTCAGTTCAGTTGAAGGTTAAGGGGAAAGGGACAAGATCTCCTGAGAAAATTGGGAGCATGGCGTGGGGGGGGGAATAGGAGAATGAGAAGGGGAGAAGAGGAGGGGTGAAGACATTATAGGACAGGGAGGTTGAGTTGGGGGAAGAACAGAAGAGAGCAAGATAAGAGATATTAAAGAGAAATCAGGCACCAGGGAAATGTCTGGAGAGCCACAAAGATGACACCAACTAACAATCTAAGCAACAGAGGAGAGGCTACCTTAAATACTCTCTCCTGATAATGAGATTGATGACTAACTTATATGCAATCGTATAGCCTTCATCCAGCAGCTGGTGGAAGTAGAAGCAGACACCCACAGCTAAACCTTCAATTGAACTGAGTTTGAGGGTTTTTCCAATATATAATTTATTTATTCTTTTAAATTTCATTTTAAAATCCAACCACAGTTTTCTCTCCCACCCTTCTCCCACCCCCTTACCTCCCCCAACCTAGAACATCCCCAGTTCACTCTTCTCTCTCATGAGTTAAGGAACTCTGAAACAATAGGTTGTGGCAGGGCCAAGCCCCTGTCCCATGCATTAAGGCTGAGCTTGTTATCCCACTACAGCAAAGCTCATATGCCAGGTTTGTATCATGGTCCTACTGCCTGGGAACCCTCTGATAGTTCAAGCTTTGAAATTGTCTCCCACATATGGAGGGCATGGAGTCTCTACCATGGTCAATCTAGAGTTTATGAGTTTCCACGAGCTTAGTTCAGTGCTCTCTGTAGATTTCTCATTCATGATCTTGACCTCCCTTGCTCATATATTCCCTCCTTCCTCTTTTTGACTGGATTCCCAGAGCTAGACATTGTTCTTGGTGGTGGATCTCTGCATCTGGTTCCATCAATTACTGGATAAAGGCTCTATGGTGATAGTTGGGGTATTCACCAATCTGATTACCGGGGAAAGCCAGTTTGGGCATCCTCTCCACTATTGCTAAGAGTCTTATAATGGGTCAGCCTTGTGGTTTCTTATGAATGACCTTAGCATCTAGAGGGGAGGGGTGAGAACATAAAGAAAGAGGGGAGTTAAGGGGGGATGCAGTGGAAGAGCCATAAAAGAGATATCTTAATGGAGAGAGAAACTATGGAATTAGGGATTCTGAGTTTTAATCAAAGACTGAAGCTAGCAACGAAGCTGACTACACCTTGCATCAAAGAATTGCAGAAAATGCAAGCACAGGTCGAATTTGAAAGCTTTCCAGTATATTCCTCAATCCTTTTTTTTCCCTTCTAGTGTCTGCCAAGCCAAGACCCCACAGCGACGAATATTCAAAGAAAATCCCCCCTCCAAAACCAAAACGGAACCCTAACACTCAGCTTAGCACATCATTTGATGAAACCTACATCAAAAAGCACGTGCCAAGGAGGACCTCGCTGCCACGAGATTCATCCCTGTCTCAGGTCTGCAGCCCGGCAGCAGACCCCGAAGAAGAGGAGCCTGTGTACATCGAGATGGTGGGTAACATTCTCAGAGACTTCAGGAAGGAAGATGATGACCAGAGTGAGGCTGTGTATGAGGAGATGAAATACCCCATTTTCGATGACTTAGGGCATGATTCCAAATGTGACTTCGATCATCACAGTTGTTCTTCGCAGTGTGCTACTCCCACGGTGCCTGACCTGGACTTCATCAAGTTGATCATCACAACTATTCTTCGCAGTGTGCTACTCCCACGGTGCCTGACCTGGACTTCATCAAGTCTTCAGGACCATGTACTCCTAAGGGTCTGCTTTGTGAGATACCCCCACCCTTCCCCAACTTGCTTTCTCATAGACCACCCCTGCTGGTGTTCCCACCAGCCCCAGTACACTGCTCCCCCAATTCCGATGAGTCTCCGCTGACCCCGCTGGAGGTCACAAAGCTTCCTGTGTTGGAAAATGTGTCTTACATGAAACAGCCACCTGGAGCATGTCCATCCTCCCTGCCGTCTCACACCTCCAGCCATGCTAAAGACCAGACCGGAGCCCTGGGTCCTGTACCTGCAGCGTCTGTGCTCTCCTCATCTCCTCCGCCTCCATCCACATTGTACAGAACACAATCTCCTCATGGCTATCCAAAAAGTCATTCCACCTCACCATCCCCTGTCAGCATGGGGAGGTCCCTGACGCCCTTGAGTCTCAAGAGACCTCCTCCCTATGATGCTGTGCATTCGGGCAGCCTCTCGAGAAGTTCTTCCTCAGTGCCTCACTCGACCCCCAGACCTGTGTCGCAAGATGGGGCCAAGATGATCAATGCCGCAGTGAATACCTACAGTGCTGCACAGAGTGGCTCCAGGTCCCGGACACCCACCAGTCCTCTGGAGGAGCTCACCAGTCTTTTTACCTCAGGACGGAGCCTGTTGAGGAAGTCATCCAGCGGCCGAAGGTCCAAGGAGCCTGCAGAGAGTAAGTTGAGCAACCTGGTTGGTGCAAGCCTCAAAAAGAAAGAGGCCCCTTATGCCCATGCAAAACGCAGGGGACTTTCTTCTGAGCATTTGGTTCCAATGTCAAAATACAATGATGTTTTTCACTTTCAGGCATGTTAAAAGAACTATTGTGTTCTGAGTGGCCACTAATATGACAATCTGCCCATTTATAATACATTCTATCCCCCAAAGGTGTGAGTTTCCTAAGGTTAAAATCGAAATTTTTACAACAGCTCCATAAAGTCTAATGGAGAACACCAGGAGGCTTTTAGGTGAAAGTTTGATTTGGAGGAACCTACATGTGTATGTCCAGAATTGTTAAAGGTAAAAGCTTAACTAAGATTGTTCCAACTCAGCTGTTGGGAATGCCCTGCAGGAAAGACAGCAAACTGGACAAATTTTGGGATTTCTTTCCCTTTCATGTAAGGAATAGTTCTGTCTGCATACTTCATATTATCACAGGCTTCCCTTCACTGTCAATGAGAATAGACTCATCAGTTCCCTACTGCACACCATGGCAGGGTCTAGAGAGATGGCCCAGAGGCTGTGAGAGTAATTACACATTTCTTGACTCATAGCTGCCTCTAATTCCTGCTTGAGGGCCTTTGGCATCTGCTCACTTGTGGACAAACACACATACACACATTCCACCAGCACCACTAGCACTACCAGCATACCACACACACACACACACACACACACACACACACACACACACACACACATTCACGCACACACTCACATAGCAATATCTTATGTTTAGGATACATTTCCCTGGATCCATTGTTGTGTATATTATATGAAATCATAAACGTGTGAAAACTGTTGTCAGTGTTTTAAAGACCATGGAATTTCAGTTTCTTAGTGACTAACTGTTTCATGAGCCCTACATAGCTCATATCACAAGTCTCTAAAATGTCCCATGCAGTTCCAGGTCAATTGTCTCCATGTCCAGATCATTCAGTCACACTAGTTTTTATTTCTTTTATTTTAAACGTGCTTTTGTTATTTAAACTAACTTAACCATTGTATAACTAATGAGCCCACCATGCAATTTGGTTATCTATTTGCATAGTTCTACTGTTTAAATGAGGAAGAAAAGCAGTCCCTATCACTTTTAATGCTGGATAGGACCATGGCATTCTCAAATAATCCATAGTCATTGGTAGTTTTAAGTGAATTTTCCTCTTTTCTTGGAAATATTTATAACCCATTTGTTAATCAAATCATACCCTCCACATATTTTTATGAGCCTAACTGAAAAGTGGTAGTTTTTATTGCCTTCAACATGCTTGAGTTACATCTATACATATATGCATATGTATAAATATTTTTAAGTTATTTCAAGAATTGAATTTAAAAATTAAGGGGATTCTATAGTTCATGCTATATACAGGAAACAAAAACTACATATGTATACAACACCTCAAATCACTCATGCACATACTCAAAATTCTTAGGAGCAATGTGTCTTTAGAGCATTTGTTCAGAATTCACACGGTTTTTGCCTGCAGGGATATTTGACAATGTCAATGCCTAGTAAAACCATTGGTTGTCCCTCTGGAAAACTGTTGTTCTACAACATAAAAGTTAGGATTGCAGAGAATTATTAAAAACTACTCCCCAAAAGGCAGATCCATAACAAATGTTTTTAGAATAAAGGAGACAAATATGAAGAAATGAATTACTTCTAAAATATATAATTCCCCTGTGAAATTCAGGCATTTCACTTAGGACTGGTGAAACTATTGGGCTTTCTCCCTACCTATCAGCTTCTTTGGAGAACTCTTAACACCTCCAGCTGGCAGCTGTGACAATTAGCTAGAAAAACTCTGTGTAAAGGGGACAATTAACTAATGAAGTCATTTCAGGGGAAAAATCCATCTGCTAAGTATCAATCTATGAGATGGATTTCAGAAACACCACTGGCTGACTTTGAAAGGGCTTTGCATGCTTCAAGAACAAACCCCTTGCATGGAAAAGTGACCTGGGTCCCTTGCAGCCTTTGAGAGCTAAGGGCTGGGTTCCTTTCCATCATCTGTTAGCTGTGTCTCAAGCCTTCAGAGAAAGACATGCTGAGTTTCATTAGCCCTGACATTTTATTCTACATAATGGGAGGGAAGTAAAATGCAGTGGAGGAATGAATAATTAAAATTTTAATTGTTGTTGACTGTAGAGGAAAATAGAAAAACATTACTTTATGCTTTAAAAAATCAGAAGTGCTCTTAGAAACATTATGCGATGCATAAGAACCAAAATTGCAATAACTACAAGTTAGCCAGGAATTGTTTCACTATCTTCAGTGATACTTTCTTTCTGTTACCCCAGCCTAACAGGCTTTGTAAGCACCTGTTGATATCATAAACCCAGAATGGGCGACTCAAGTGTCATCAAGTTTTTTTTTTTGAAATAATATTCCAGGATTATTTTACATTTTAAGGATAAAAGTAATATTGGTGTCTGTTTTCCCTCTCCTTTGATTTATTTGAAAGGCAATTTTAAAGCATTTAATCAAAAATGATCTTGCTTTTAATTAAAGAAACAAATGCAAAATAATACTTATACTTTTGAACATTATTTTTAATAATCTAAAAGTCACAATTTAGTTTGCTTTAGGCTGCTGCACTAAAACTCATTGACAAAAGGCAATTTAAGGAGGGGAAAGATTCATTTGGCTACAGTCCATCACTGAAGGATGCCTAGGCAGGACCTGAAGGCAGGAATCTAAAGGCAGGCCTGCATGAATCACAGCATGTCTTCCAACAAGAGAATTCACTTTATAGCCAAGGAGGTCAGCAGGGTCTGTGGAGAAGCACTGTTTGCTGGGCTCACTTTCCAGTTCACTTGCTCACAGGCTCACTCTTAGCTAGCTTTCTTATACAGCCCAGCACCAGTGCCTAAGGAATGGTCCATTCATGGTGATCTGTTCCCTTCTGAATCAATTAACAATCAACAAAGTCTCCCACGGGAGCTAGAGAGAGATGGCTCAGTTACACCTCCCCTCTTGTTTTTTGAAGACAGGGTTTCTCTGTATAGTTTTGGAGCCTGTCCTGTAACTCACTCTGTAGATCAGGATGGCCTCGAACTCACAGAGATTCACCTGCCTCTGCCTCCTGAGGACTGGGAATAAAGGGGTATGCTGCCACCGACTGGCCACTTGTTTCTCTTACGAAGTACAAGAGTTTAGTTTCCAGCATTCATATTGCCAACATCCCAAATACTATATCCAGGGGATCTGGGACCCTCTTCTGGCCTCCATGAACACAAGGTATACACACGGCACACAACATACATGCAGGCAAAACACACTCAAAATTCACAAACTAACCAGACAGAGACAGTCAGGTTTTTCAGTCCTGCATTGTCAACAGATGCATTGACTTCAGAAACCCAGTATTCTTGTATTTGACTGCTGACATCATGGTCAATACTATGCTGACATCATGGTCACCACTGTTTTGTAGCTTGATAGTTGATGACTTTTCTAAGGAAAATTAAGACAAAGATCCCAAAATCCAAGCAATGGCTAGGGAAGTGGCTGACAGGTATGAGAGCTTGTAACACAGGCAAGACAACCTGAATTGAGATCCCAGCACCCATATAAAACACTGGAAATAGGTGCTCATGTGTCTCTAATGCTAATGCTCTGAGCAGGGGTGACAGGAGGCTCTCTAGAGATTATTATTTATCAGCCTACCTCCTGGTTCAGGACACCCAAATCCTCCTCTGTCCTCTGCACACATACATGTATTCATACACCACCCATATGTCATACACATACAAACAATAACAATATGGCTAAAGGCAATGACAGCTCCACAATAGATAATCCAGAAACTGAGTCAGGTAACCACAAGACCTCAGCCCCAGCTTCTTTGTCTTTAGACTTGTGAGTCTGTTCATTCACACACTTGTCGTGTGTGTGTGTGTGTGTGTGTGTGTGTGTGTGTGTGTGTGTGTGTGTGTGCTCGCGCTATAAGAAAAGAATGGGTCAGTCTATATTGAGAGTGCTAAGGTTAAGCAAAGAATAACTAAAATTCCTTGGTTTCCAAAATTCATGTGGCTCCATGGTTAATTGGAATGGTGACATTGTCTGTTTACTGCATTCAGTTTATCCTAGAATTGCAGTTCAGAATCACTGAAGAAAACATAATTTCATAAATAATTGCTCACCTTTCTGGGGGTACAGCTGCATCTGTCTTTGATTGATGCAAGTAGACATGTTTATCCCTAGTGTTTATATTCCCTGGCTGCTGAATCTTTAAGTGCAATTTCTTGTCAGCAATTTAAAGCAGCAACTCTCTCCATTAAGAAGAAGCCTGGCTGCTTCAGACTCTAAAATCCAGTCACATTTTCAATTCAGAAATAAACTACTGGTCTGTCTCTCAATTGTAGCTAAGTTACACTGGCAGAATATACTACAACTCATTTCTTTCCCTCCTGACCAGATAGATGGAACAGGAAATTTATTATCTAGGTTTCATTTTCTATCATGGATTTTGAAAGCTCTGACAAATATAATTAATAAATTCCTATGTTTAAGTACAAAGGTTCCTAGTGCCATATAAGCATGCCTGACGCACAGCCTCTACTTAACTAAATGATCTAGGGATATAGAAGAAGACTGGATGTCATAACAAGTAGTTTCCATCTCGGCTCAATCAAAAAAGCATTGAGATTTTGGATAAGGCTTTTATGCCATAGTTTTCCAACTTGTCAAATGAAAATAGTAGGTGGTAAACTCGGATCTCTTCTGCTTCTGTAGATGTCTGGGTGGCCTGGCACTCCCCAGACAAACCTCTGTCTTCTTATCTGAAGTCTTCCCTTGCTGCAGGGCTTCCTATAAATTCCATTAAAGTGTCAATTTCACCCTGGAGACTACCCAGAGTCCTTCAACTTAGAATTTTACATATGATAGTGCCTTTGTCTATTTTCCTTGTATTTTTTGTAATGATTGGTAAGTTATTTGAATGTCTCATA